TAGATTTTTGTGTTTAAAAATATATTTTAAAGAGAATTAAATCGGTGCCGGACAGTTGTGACATGTCCCTTGTTAGTTATGTTAATATTATTACCTCCACTAGTGAGAAGACCAGTACCGAGCCAAGGTTTTATATGTTCATAAATTATACTCTTTTCAATGTGCCGCGAGCTGCTTAGTATTGTCTGAAATTACAGAAAGTATTGAGTTAAACATTTTTATCTCAGACTCAACGCAAATAATCATTTAATTGATATAGAAATTATTTCAAATATTTAATTTTCTCTAACTTGTGTTTATAACTATGTAACAATGTAATGAAATCTTTGAGAATGCATCAAACAAAATAAAAAATAAAGCTAATAACAGTTAACGCAGATGTCAGTATAATATTTTAATGTTTATTAGTCAAATATTATATAAGTAACGCAAATGTCTAAATCACAATTTCAGTCCTTCTCAGTGCAATTAGAATACAAAAAAAATAAAATATATTTAATAGATCTGTTTTCATTACTGTTGCGTCTATTCCACATACTTTACTTCTTATTTTCGTTCATATTAACAACAAACCTGTTAAGAAATAAAATTTATGTTTAGTATATTAATATACCGTGTGTAGAACACGATGAAAATAAGAAGCAAGATAGATAAAACAAACATACGTTATACGCAACGATAAAAAAAAGATTTATTAAGAAGCTTTACGTTTATCTTTTTCTTTATATTCTAAATGTATAGAGGACTCAAATTATCATCAAAACCCAGCAAATTATAACTGCAATATTGCAGCAACATTATAACATTTCGGCAATACAGCTGGAATATTGGAATTATAATCTGTGTTTGCTGGAAACATTTACGGTACCTATATATTATTCTACTAATAAGTGTTACACACCAATATCTACGGTATAGTTTCTATTAGCTTTATATCTCATTTTCTTTGATTATTGATAAGTAAACATATATTCCAAAATAAAAGAATTATCTTAATTTCAATAATTACATTATTATCTAATATATCAATAAAAAGAGAATAAAATTTTGTTCACATTTTATTACCTCTAGATCATCTGGATGATTGATGAATACAGCGGACAGAAAAAACAACCAAACTTTAAAAATGTGATACTGTTTATTAAAAGTAGACACTATTTTCCATAGTTCCTCTAAAAAAAGGTATGTATATGTATATTTCGTAAATTTACCAAAATATTATAATTATTAGTTAAAAAAAATTGATTGTCATTGTATATATTTATCATTATATATATTTATCATTTATCGTTATATGTATGTATAATATGCTTTATAATTTTTTATACAACTTAGTAATTTGGACAATAAACAATATTATTACGTAGAAGAAAATTCAAGAGCTTAAATAATTTTTAAAAGTAATCATAATGCTGCGTAATGTTAATAATTATGTTTTAAAGGAAAATATTTTTACACATATACAGTGCAAAGACAAATTTATGTTAATGTACAAAAAATTTTAACTTGCCTTGTGAACCAAGAAATTGGAAAATATTTCCTAGAATCGGGAAACCTGATGGACCTGGTATAAGATTGATGAGACGCCCGTTTCTTCCATAATGTGCATAATAATTCCACACCAATATAATGAGGATGAATAACAGCAATATAGTAATTAACATCGTTTGTTGCCCAAATGATTAACCAATTTAATTTTGTTTTCTTTGATTCAGATCGGAAGAGC